CACTGTCCTCTCTCTCTCTGGTTTCAGACTCTATCCACTGTCCTCTCTCTCTCTGGTTTCAGACTCTATCCACTGTCCTCTCTCTCTCTGGTTTCAGACTCTATCCACTGTCTCTCTCTCTCTCTGGTTTCAGACTCTATCCACTGTCCTCTCTCTCTCTGGTTTCAGACTCTATCCACTGTCCTCTCTCTCTCTCTGGTTTCAGACTCTATCCACTGTCCTCTCTCTCTCTGGTTTCAGACTCTATCCACTGTCCTCTCTCTCTCTCTGGTTTCTGACTCTATCCACTGTCCTCTCTCTCTCTGGTTTCAGACTCTATCCACTGTCTCTCTCTCTCTGGTTTCAGACTCTATCCACTGTCCTCTCTCTCTCTGGTTTCAGACTCTATCCACTGTCTCTCTCTCTCTCTGGTTTCAGACTCTATCCACTGTCCTCTCTCTCTCTGGTTTCAGACTCTATCCACTGTCCTCTCTCTCTCTGGTTTCAGACTCTATCCACTGTCCTCTCTCTCTCTCTGGTTTCTGACTCTATCCACTGTCCTCTCTCTCTCTGGTTTCAGACTCTATCCACTGTCCTCTCTCTCTCTCTGGTTTCAGACTCTATCCACTGTCCTCTCTCTCTCTGGTTTCAGACTCTATCCACTGTCCTCTCTCTCTCTGGTTTCAGACTCTATCCACTGTCCTCTCTCTCTCTGGTTTCAGACTCTATCCACTGTCCTCTCTCTCTCTGGTTTCAGACTCTATCCACTGTCCTCTCTCTCTCTCTGGTTTCAGACTCTATCCACTGTCCTCTCTCTCTCTCTGGTTTCAGACTCTATCCACTGTCCTCTCTTCTCTCTGGTTTCAGACTCTATCCACTGTCCTCTCTCTCTCTGGTTTCAGACTCTATCCACTGTCCTCTCTCTCTCTGGTTTCAGACTCTATCCACTGTCCTCTCTCTCTCTGGTTTCTGACTCTATCCACTGTCCTCTCTCTCTCTGGTTTCTGACTCTATCCACTGTCCTCTCTCTCTCTGGTTTCAGACTCTATCCACTGTCCTCTCTCTCTGGTTTCAGACTCTATCCACTGTCCTCTCTCTCTCTGGTTTCAGACTCTATCCACTGTCCTCTCTCCCTGGTTTCAGACTCTATCCACTGTCCTCTCTCTCTCTGGTTTGACTCTATCCACTGTCCTCTCTCTCTCTCTGGTTTCAGACTCTATCCACTGTCCTCTCTCTCTCTGGTTTCAGACTCTATCCACTGTCCTCTCTCTCTCTGGTTTCAGACTCTATCCACTGTCCTCTCTCTCTCTCTGGTTTCAGACTCTATCCACTGTCCTCTCTCTCCTGGTTTCAGACTCTATCCACTGTCCTCTCTCTCTCTCTGGTTTCAGACTCTATCCACTGTCCTCTCTGTCCTGGTTTCTGACTCTATCCACTGTCCTCTCTCTCTCTCTGGTTTCAGACTCTATCCACTGTCCTCTCTCTCTCTGGTTTCTGACTCTATCCACTGTCCTCTCTCTCTCTGGTTTCAGACTCTATCCACTGTCCTCTCTGTCCCTGGTTTCAGACTCTATCCACTGTCTCTCTCTCTCTCTGGTTTCAGACTCTATCCACTGTCCTCTCTGTCCTCTGGTTTCAGACTCTATCCACTGTCCTCTCTCTCTCTGGTTTCAGACTCTATCCACTGTCCTCTCTCTCTCTCTGGTTTCAGACTCTATCCACTGTCCTCTCTCTCTCTCTGGTTTCAGACTCTATCCACTGTCCTCTCTCTCTCTGGTTTCAGACTCTATCCACTGTCCTCTCTCTCTCTGGTTTCAGACTCTATCCACTGTCCTCTCTCTCTCTGGTTTCTGACTCTATCCACTGTCCTCTCTCTCTCTGGTTTCAGACTCTATCCACTGTCTCTCTCTCTCTCTGGTTTCAGACTCTATCCACTGTCCTCTCTGTCCCTGGTTTCAGACTCTATCCACTGTCCTCTCTCTCTCTGGTTTCAGACTCTATCCACTGTCCTCTCTGTCCCTGGTTTCAGACTCTATCCACTGTCCTCTCTCTCTCTGGTTTCTGACTCTATCCACTGTCCTCTCTCTCTCTGGTTTCTGACTCTGTCCACTGTCCTCTCTCTCTCTGGTTTCAGACTCTATCCACTGTCCTCTCTGTCCCTGGTTTCAGACTCTATCCACTGTCCTCTCTCTCTCTGGTTTCAGACTCTATCCACTGTCCTCTCTGTCCCTGGTTTCAGACTCTATCCACTGTCCTCTCTCTCTCTGGTTTCTGACTCTATCCACTGTCCTCTCTCTCTCTCTGGTTTCAGACTCTATCCACTGTCCTCTCTCTCTCCCTGGTTTCAGACTCTATCCACTGTCCTCTCTCTCTCTGGTTTCAGACTCTATCCACTGTCCTCTCTGTCCTGGTTTCAGACTCTATCCACTGTCCTCTCTCTCTCTGGTTTCAGACTCTATCCACTGTCCTCTCTGTCCCTGGTTTCAGACTCTATCCACTGTCCTCTCTCTCTCTCTGGTTT